GCTTTAGGCTGCGTTCAGGAGAATTAAAACAACAATACCCCCCCCCCTCCCAAACTGGAATCCCCCCTCCTTTCCACCCCCCATCACCTCTGGGGAGAATGCAGGAAAACCAACACATTTAGAATCATTAACTCTTAAAATAGCTGAATTTCCTCCAGTAGGAAAAAAATTACACTCATGAGTTCAGGATATTTATATAGTATATGAATCGATGAATAAACAGGTTATATCGCTACAGCACTTGTCCCTCGGAAGGCAAGCACTCGGTTTAGAAAAAAACACCATAGCTGTTGCCCTCCCCCCCACCCCCCGTTCCTGGAATTTATTTACTTGCCAGAACATTTAAGCAGCCGAGTATATTTTTTAACTTAAATATTTGAAATAAGGAAAAAGGAGACTGTTTTCCGTTAAATGATAATGTTAAAGCACTGATAATATCGTCCAAAGCAGAAGAGAATTGTTTAAACAATGTCGGTGCTTGCAGGATTGCCCACTATAAATACATTCACACTGCCTTTTTGATGCAAGTTTCTACTGCAGCTCTTTTCCGTGTGAGTGTATAGCTATGTATGTTCCCGCTCCGACTGTGTGAAACAGGCCTGCAGCTGCAGGCCAGCGGAAGGCCGTGTCACTTTGTCAAGCCCCTTCACCCTGGGACGAGGGTACAGGGGTGCCCAGTTGCGCGGTGCTCACACACGTCGCTTCTGCCAGCTAGAAGCTGCTCGCTGCTTTCCCTTACCTCTTCTAATTTCGCCTCTGAAGGATGGGATAGATTGAAAACCAAATAACGAATTGCATAAATATTACGGCTCTCTCTCGATGCCATTTCCCGCCCCCCAAGCGCTCTGCCGGGGAGGGGTGGGGGGGGGGAACGAGGACGGAGCGCGGAATGAACCGGTGCGAGTTCATTAGTAAATCAAAGGTTGCAATTAGCGTCTGCTGCTGCGAACCGATCTCTCTCCCGCCCGCCTCCCCTAGCCCCCATCACAAAATAATTGCAAAGTATCTGTTGATGTTTTTCTTCCACCCGTCAAAACGTTGGAGCTCTGCCTGCTCCAGCGCTGCTTTCTGGGTTTGTTGTGTCTGGAGACAATGCTCCGCCAGTGAACGATCAGAGGTGAAGGGGGGTCACTAGGGGAGGCAGGGAGCGCGGCTCTGCGAGCCGGCTAGGGGCTCCCCTTCGTCTCCCACCCCTGCAAACCTGTCGCCCACAGGCAACGGGGGGCGGCAACCCCTGGTTCCCTTCTCCCCGCTCTGCCCCGGGGCAGCCCTGTGCCTTCCCGGCCGGGCCGGGAGAGGGAAGAGGATGTGGCCCTCATGTCCGCTCGGGGGGACGCGGCTGCTTTATGTGCAAGGGGCCGAGAAGGGGGAAGGCAGGGGACTCCTCCGGACCCCAAACTTACACCTAAGTTTAATTTTTCTACATACATTTACAGCAGTCTGTGGGTCTCCGTGCTCCATCAGCTGCCCGCAGAGCATTTCCTTCTCCACCCACCCCGACATGTGCGTGCACGAGTAGCGGGTCTTTACGCCCCTCAGCCTCCCCTTTGCTTTCACCCTTCGGGCTGACACTGCAGGCAGGAGGTGTGTATTTTTAGATGGCGCTGGCGGTTTTACTCCGTGACCCCGAGGAAACCCCTGTCGCTTTGTCTCGCTGGCCTTCAGCGGCGGGGCCGGGCAGGAGGGTTCCGCCGTCTGCGGGCCCTGGGGGAGAGTCGACCCGCTCCTTCTATCCCCCGGTCCTCTGAAAGAGTTAGTGAGGGCTTGCGCTCCCGTGGGGTGACCCCACCGCAGGCCTCCTCTGTTTGATCCCTGAGGGGATTCTGCAGCCCGCGAGTGGCCGATGGTCCCAAGAGCCCCTGAAAAAGGCCTCAGGAGTGAAATTTTTTTTTTTTTTTTTTTTACCGGCTTTGGTGGCAGTTCGACTTTCGGCAAGACAAGCTCCGGAGGAAGGGCAGAGGCCCGCACGGCGTAGGGGAGGGGACGGGTTACGGTGCGAGGTGCGGGGAGCGAGCCCTGCCTCAGCTGCTTGTAACTGCTGCCGCTGCGGAGAGGGAGCTGCAGGCAGCGCCCAGGCCGGGCGAGCCAACTTTCCCTAGGGAGCCCCGGCCCTCCGCAACCCGTGGGGCAGGAGCCGGGCCCGCTCTTCTCTCCCTGTCCGCCTAAACCCCCTTCTCCCCACGGGGTGCACGCACGGGGAGCCCCCGCCACCCAGCTGCCTGGACACTGCCTTTACTATCCCGCTTTTCCGCGTAGTAGCGGCGCAGGGTAACCCTCTTCGCTTCTCTGGCTGTCCGGGCGGCCCCTGGCCGAGACAAAGGCCTTTCCCCGCCGTTGCTGCCGCTCCACAGCCTGCAAAGTCGGACAGCAAAAGCAAAATCCACCGGGCTTTTTACTGTTGGAGCTGCCCTTTTAAATTAGGGAAGCTGCAATGACCCCAGAGAGATGAGACGGGCAGAGAAGGGGGTGCATCTTTCCGAACCTACACGCACAAAACGGTTGACATACAGGTGAAACGAATGAACGGATGTACAGTTAAATAGTCTGCAACTGGTGTATTAGCTGCAGATACCGATATCATCTATGTAAATATCATTATTGTTACTGTTTTCGAGAAGTGATCCCACGGTCATTGGAAAGAGCAGTGCTTTCGAAAGAATTAAAAATCGCAAAATCGGACAGGAAGGTGGTAGTAAGGAAACCGAAAAGCAGTTCACACCTCTGCCAGACTGTAAAAAGCAAAAAGCAGCGGGGCAGTGCTGGGACGCACAACAGCAGTGTAAATAGTAATAAAAATTTGTTGTAAATAATAATTTAAAAAAAAGCAAAAATATATCTGGCTCAAAGTCATCGCGGAGGGACCGCTTGCTCTATAACCAAATTTTGCCTTCCCAGCCCTTTCCCCACACACTCGCCAATGCAGAGGCCGAAAACGGAGAATAAAAATGCATCTCTTGAATGAGCCGCAGTTAGAGGCTAAAGCAAAAATAAAACCTGTGAGCTCGAAGAACTGGCAGCTTATATAAAGGTTCCCAGCCCTCTGCAGAGATGTGTGAACTAATATTCAGATGTACCAGCAAGCCTCCCAAGTGTATCACTGGAAGCAAGAAATAGTTCCCAGCGATATAAAAATACCTTGTCATAAAAACGCTTTAATACCTTTTTTTTCTAAACAATTTTATTTTGATTACGTGCGCCACCAAGGATACTGCCGCCTGGGACCACTTGGAAAGGGGACAGCCTTCGGTGAAACTGGGGAGGCAGAGCTCGCCCTCTCTCCTCCGCCTACCACCGTGCCCCGGAACGGGGGAACCCCTCGGTCGTTGGGCTGCGCGGCAGCAGCCCGCCGGGCACAGCCACAGCATGAACACTGCAGGCAGAACAGATAATGTAAAGGACACGGGGAGGAGGGGTCATTGGTATTCTACCCTTCAGGAGAAACAAAAAAGGACGCAGGAGCGGAGTCGTACCCATTCGGGGGGGTAAAAGCACCTCCGGCGGCTTTGTGTAAATATACCCACGCGGGGCGGTGTCCACGCCGGGAGTGAATAGCAGTGTGTGCTTGCCCCGGCCCCGCGGCGAGACCTGGGCCTCCCCATGGTCCGCGACTTACTCGGCGTGTAGGGAGCCCCGACGCGCCGTGGAGACCATAGGTGGGGGTGGAGATCCTCACACGCGTGAGGCGCTGCTTGGAGCGAGTGCAAGTGGGACACCTCTACCTCTCCGCTGCTCCTGCTCTTCTGCACCCCGCGGGGGTGCGGGCTCCGTGCACCTGTGGGAAAGGATCCCAAGCAGAGGCCAGGCTCCCTCGTTTCCCTTTCCCCGTGTCCTGCGGTGGCCGTTCCAAGTTCTCGCTCCCGCGGGGACAGCCCCCAAGGAAGCTGCCCGTTCGCCTGCCCGGGCCAGCACCGCTCTGCACAACGTCCGCGCTCTGCGCAACATTTCCGCCTCTGCCTCTGGCAAATTCCGCCTTTCGGGCCACCGCAGAAGTGGCCTTCGCTTCCTGCCGGCAGCCTGGGTTCTCACAGGGGGATCCTCAGCCTCGTCCTGTCCCCCCTGCACAACTGCCATCACGAAACCGCTCCCGGCTCTGCACTCAGATCCCCACATCCCATCGCCTCCCTTCTAACAAGGATGCCCCTTCCCCCAGAGTCCAAAAGCAAGAGGTGTGCTCAGAGAAGGTGTATCATCTCCCGTGTATCTACCTGCTATATACCTTGCCCTTTGCTGATTTCGAGGCATAAAGCTAAAATGATGGGATTAATTGGTGGGTGGAAGACCCTAAACCAGCGGGAAATGTATGGGCTCGGCGACCTCTGGATAACCCAGGTACCTTGGCATGAAAAGTGCGAAAATATTTACTCACCTTGAAGCTTGGGTTGTTGTGTTTTTTTTTTTTTTGTTTTTGTTTTTGTTTTTTTTAAGCCTTTTTATTTATTTGGTTTTAATTCCTCAAGTCATCTTTTGAGATGATTCAAGCTCCCTTCCGAAGACTAATTATAGTAAGCAGGAAGAGGATGGAAGGGTAATGGGTTGATTCTGGGGGGCAGAACCCAAAACACCCTAAATCCCCAGGTCAAGAAGGTGCTGGACAAAAAGGCTTTCTGTGACTCATGCACACTCTGAAATGAAGATCTGAAAAGTGCTTACAAGCCCCCTCTGACTGGTTTGAAAGCAATTCCAGCAATTAGGAATTAATTCGGCATGGTCAAGAGGCGATTTCACTGCGAATTACATCAAGTTATCCAAACTTTTACAGAGTTCAAGTGGTGGAAATGGGCCGCTGGGGTGGAGGTAGGGCTGCAGTAAAGAAAAACAAGGAGTGTTCAGGAAAGGCAGAAGAGGGGAAGCCATGGAGCAAGGGCTGGAGGCATGGCGAGCCCATGCTAGCGCCAGAGGTTGGCTTCTGTTGTTGCTGGAAGAGAGGGGAGGTTGCAGGCTGGAGAGCAGAGGATGCTTTTGTTTTTCAAATAGAATAAAGTACTAAAAATTCACTGGCAGTCCTAGCTAATTGATGAGTTTTAATTAAAAAAGGAAATCAGTAGGCTTGTTGGCTGATCAGTACTTCATGTGCAGTATCGGTCAGGGGTGACCTTTCCCCAGTTACTGGCAAAAGCCAGAGTTAGCCCAGGCAGGGCTGACCCTGGGATGATCTGTGGGGCGAGAGGCACAGGGAGTGTGTGGAGGGTGGAGTGGGGAATAAAACTGGGCTTTCCTGCACAGGCAGGCCAGCAGTAAAACCATCACAGGGAGGGGCGGATGGCTGGCCACCCACCCTGGTGGCTTATGGTGGTGCTGGTTGTGAGGTGCACCTCTGGTATGGGTCACCCCTGTGATGCCTGTTGGGCCCAGCCAGGGATCAGGCATTGGGGTTGTTCCTCATGAGCTCCACATCGGCATCCACCATCTCCCTCACCAGCTCCTGCAAAGAGGAAAAGAGGCAGATGAGTGCTCCAGCACGGGGGATGAACAGCAGGAATGCCCTGGAACAGAATGAGACCCTCTTGACCCCCTGCAGCAGGACAAGGAGGGGCTGAGGGTTTGCTGGGCTCTTCCTATAGCAGCTCTGGCCCCAGTGTGTGGGTCGGTATCCTGCTATGCGCTGGGGGTGGCCATTGCTGCTGTCATGGCTGCTGTCTTCAAAGCAAGAACCTGGGCATGGTCACTGAAATGGGATTCCTCAGTGTGCCTGAGTCGCCCTGCACAGAGGTCCCCCCTCCCTTCCCTTCCACATGGATTACTTTTAGAAGACACCAACATCTGGCAGGTGCAAAGCATGCCAGAAAGGCCACTCACATCAAACGTGACTCTCGGCTTCCAGTTCAGCTTTTGTCTGGCTTTGGTACAGTCCCCTTGCAGAAAATCCTGCGGAAAAGAAGAAACAGGCTCTGTGAGAAGCATACACCTTCCCCATCTCAGTGGCTTCCCCATTGCCCATGCTTTCCCTGTGAGCCGAGCACAGCCGGGACCACCACTGGACTCTTCTGAGAACAAAACATTTCTCTGTAAGATGCCATTTTAGTGGAAGCTCATATGCCTATGAATCACCAGGAGGCAGCATCCTTTCACCAGGCTGTTTCAGACCAAAAGAGTTATTCTTTGTTTTTGTGTGCGCTTGGGGTTTGAACTCCAGCCTTATGGCAGTATAATGGTGAACATTTTATAAGTTGTCATATGTCTTAGTCATGCCACTGAATGAGCTGTTTCAAATTCTTTCCCCCCCATTTGTTTAAATAATGTAAATCACAGAGCAAACATGGCAAGTAGTCTCTTTCAAATAAAAACGTGATCACAGACAGATGATGCTGAAAGTCTGTTACGAATATGGGTAACCATATGCAACAGTAGTAAACATCCAGCTTTTGAATGCCTACATCCTTTTCCTAGAGTATATTTGAGCATCCATATGCTCAACAACTCATAAATGAAGTTATCTTCCATCACAGAAACCAAGACTTTGGTCATATTCACCCTACTGTTCAAGTATTTTAAAAGCGCTACCACATCAAAACAATCCCACAGCCAGTCATCAAAAATAACGAACAAAATAAATTAAAAAAAGAAAAAAACCCTTCTTTGACTGCATTCTAATTGAATGAAAAAAATGACTGTGTCTTCCTTTAAAGTTCAAATAATGTATTTAAATAGTTAGCTTTTTTCCAACTGTATGTGTTGATTTAATAAAACATCATCTCACAAGCTTTGTTTCTGTGTATCAGTAAATACTAAAATTACATTTGTCTAGGTTTAAAGAAAGCCAAACAAACCCAACTTTTTCACTGAACAACAAGGCTAAGACTGAATTCTGTTCTTGCATTTGACTTTATGGTGGTAACAGAGCAGGCTTTCCAGAAAAATGCATGGACTTGTTTCTCCCTCTCCCTCTCTCTGGCCAGCGGTGGAGCCAACGAGCATTTTCTGGCTGTAGTTTTTTAGCCATCTTGCTGCACAGTACATTTTTCAGATGCTATCTTTTGGGCATCTGTAGTTCAGGTCATGTTAACTTGCAAAATCACCTCATCCTGTGCAGTAAAATGTAGGAAATTCTTCATAATTGTGCTCCAGAAAGCTAGACAGCTTGCTTCCAGGAGCAGAGGATATACACCAAAGGAAATACTGCACTGCAGAAGGGGATGTAGAACAAACACGTCTGCCGAGACTATTCCAGGCAGCATTTTTTACTAGTTCAGTCTTCAGGCTAAAAACATGTTAGCCTGCCTTCAGAAAAGAGTAAACAGATGGATCAGAACAAAATGATACGAAAATAAAAAATGCTGTGATTTCCTTAAATTAGACTAAATTATTTCCTACTGCAGCCCTGTAATGGGTTTTTAGAAACTGCAGCAGATAGTTGAGGCCAAGTCATGCAAAACCGCATCAACTTGAGGGATCCCCCGGAGGGTCGTGTGAATATGGATTGCAAAATCTGGTTTGAAATGGGAAAGACGCCCACTAACTTTGATAAAACTTGGATCAGACCCTAATGTGCTCATGGAGGTATGCCTTTTATCTGGAGTTTGGTTTAATTTACATTATATACGTGTGCATATGTCTGGAAACGAGGAAATCCTTCTTAAAATAATAATTTCAGTATAAAAGCAAGTGCCTTCTATTCACTCCTTATTCAAACCACTCGTTAGAAGTGTTTTAAAACCACCTAGTTTTAAGTCATAAAAGACACAGCAGAAGACTTGCAGTTTCATTTTTTCTAAATGCTGTTTAATAATTTTAGACCCACAATCTTTTATCGAAAACATCATTTGAAGCTTGAAGGATACTGGGTTTCCATTAAAAAAAAAAAAAAAAGGATGGCGGAGAACAGAATGAATTGTCATCACTTGCTGTATGTAGCTGCATTCTGCTTTTGAACAGCTTGGGAGCAGTCTTTTAGCTTTCTTGGACAAATGCTTTTTGTTAAAACAGTTTATCTAAAAAAAATACCTAATTCCAGCCCTTCATTCAAAAACATAAACACTCAGCTGCTGAACAGGCCAAAATAAGGTTGGAGGGAGCTTGCAAATCAGTAAAAGTGAAGTTATTTGCAGTGCTGGATTATACACAGAGATAACACAAACAACTAGTGTATTAAATCCATTTAAGCATATAAAGAAGTATTTTTCATTTAAAAGTTCACATGCTTTAACAATGATGCAGCAAAGGTATTATGGTGTAATCTGTGACCAAAATAACAAAAAAAAAAGGAGAAAAAAGAAGATTTAATATATATGATAATACAAATTCCCCAGCTGACTTAGGTTAAAAGATTTTAAATGGCTCTCCTGAAGAAGTCTGTGTACTTCTGAGAAGCGCTACTTTGTAGATAGATTTATTTGAAAATAGCATTATGGACACAATGTCCCCTAAGCACTTTTAAAAAGGTTCTGTTACAGAAGTTACTAGGTGCAGAGATCAAATGAAACCGTAATATTAACACTATATTACATCTGGATTCAAGGTTTGATTGTATTCTTATTAGTGAAAGTTTCAACACTGAATGGAAATGATGACTGGAACAAAGCTATTCCTGATTAAAGGATTGTATTGCAGTCACGTTTCCTGTATTTTTCTACAAGTAGCTCATAATATGAAAACAATAAGGTAATTACAATAAAATAAGAATATTAAAAAAAGTTTCTCTTGGAACAGAATGACTGCTTGTTTATATTATTTAAGTCTTTCACTGAAACCAGAGATGCATCTGTCAGGCTTCCAAAAGGAAACAATCCACACAAAAAAAACCACAGCCCCCTCACCAGAATCCTCAGCCATGCCAATCATTAAAGCATATTGATTTTTCAGTGTCAGGGCTTCACTCTCTGGAGGTACAACCAGATCAGAAAGCAAGGAGAGAAGAAGTGAGGTTCCACTGGAGAAAACCAGGTTTTTTTTTGGGGGGGGGGGGGTAGAAGGTGGGTTGGGTCAGGAGGAAGGTTCTCAAAAAACAGCTGCTGCTGCTGAATGTAAACTGCTCAGTATCCCTGTTCTTGATGGAAAAGCACCTGATGAAATGACACTGCTTCATGTTTTCTGTTCCTGTGGGATAACTTTTTCTGTGGTGTCGTGCTTTACATACTGACAGGACTCCATGAAAACCCCGAGGATTTAGGTACTGAGCAAGTCTGCGAACCTGAAAACACTGATAAAGGCTTTCTGTTGTTTTTACAATACTCAGATCATGAACATAAAATTAAGTCTTTGCTTTTAGTTATCTGGTTTGGGAGGAACAAGCCCTTACTTTCTATGCAAATATAGTTAATATAAGTGAATAGTAATGACAAGTTTTACCTGCAAGCTGAGAGTCTGAAACAACATCTAGGTAAACATTTAAGTGGAAGGAAGATGGAAAAGACAGCAATTAAATTCCCCGCTGCCACTTAATACAAGAGTAAATTCTCCTATGGCTTTATACGCACCTCACTGTCATATGACTGCCTCTCAGAGAAAAGAACAAGTTTATCCAATGAGCCTTTCTAGTTTACCTTTTCTGTAAATGAGGCTGCATATCTGTGTAGAAAATACCCAGTTATTACTAAATCTGATTTTATGGTTATTCAGATTTATTGTCCAAATGCAGACATACACACGCATACAGATAAACAGAAAAATTTGTTACACAATGTGTTCAGGCCTTTTTAAATTTAGTTTTAAAACCATGAGACAAAAATGAAGAATATTTTAATGTAAATATCACGTTTCCCAAGCTCTTGCTCTGAGTGTCGTCACAATTCCTATCTTCACTTGTGCAGTGATTGATCTGGTTTCACTGTGCAATGTATCACTGTCTTACTCAATTAACTTTAACTGAAAATGTAAAGCCTCATGACAATGTGAGAAAAAGGAGATAGCACGGCCTGAAAGAAGGCCAAGGCTTCCTTTATTACTACAGCTCAGCTGATTCCCTTTAAAATTTGCCTTCACTGAAGCCAGAGCCCAGCGCCAGCTTTTGCTCTCTCTTACGGCAGAATAAAACCGAGATCAAGTCCTCAGTAAAACACCTGTGATGGAATTGTGCCCAGCTCCACTCACTGCAGCAGAGACAAGGCTTTACCTCTAAAAATAAACAGACTTGATCTAAGCACACAACAGTTTTACTGCATCTGAAAAGCAGCCAGGGTTACGTTCACAATCAGCACGACTGCTTGGAAGATTTGTTACATCAGAGCTCCCATAAGCAAAGAGCACAGACCTAGCTCGGTGGAGGCTCTGGCTTGCGTGTTTAGTCTTGCACTCTTTTGCTCGAGAAGTTTTGTCAGGAAGGATTTCAAGAATCTAGGGGCCAAAGTTTCCTGCAAACCCTGTTGTGTTTTATTATCCTCATTTCCTTCTTAAAACTGTTGCTTTTCAGCTTTAACTCATCCTATTAAAATAAGAACTAATAAACATAGCTACTTGATTAGGCAACATTAGCTTGCTTGTGTTTTCACCATTATCATAGAGTAGTCTGGGTTAGAAGGGATCTTTAAAGGTCAACTAGTCCAACCCCCCTGCAATGAGTAGACATATCCTCTACTATGTCAGTTTCTTCAGAGTCCTGACCAGCCTAACTTCAGGTGTTTCCAGGGATGGGGCAGTCTACCACTTCTATGGGCAACCTGTTCCAGTGTTTCACCACCTGCATTGTAAAAACATTTCTTTCTTATAGCTAGCATAAATCTACCTTCTTTTAGTTTAAAACCATTACCCCTTGTCCTGTCGCAACAGGCCCAGCTAGAAAGTTGTATCTCAGTAATGTATATATCAAAGTTTATATTATGAAATGGTCTTCCCTTTTGTGGAGTTTTCGGAATGTTTTTCATGGCATTTTTTAACGAGGGTTTGTGCTGCATCTCAGCAGTAACATCAGCCCCACAGTACATACAGGTATC